AGCATGATTGCTATGCTTTACTACCTGATGAGTAGGGCATAGTCACCACAGCTAATAAAAACTCCTTGCCGGTAGATATATTTGCAGGAAATATATTTATAGGAGCTGGGATTCTATAGATTTGATAGTGCCCTCTATTCAGAAGTGGTCCAGACCTCAGGCGGTCCCCTTTGGAAATAAACTGCAGATGTCCTTTCACTGACCAAAGGATTTTGGCCTTGACTGAATACTTTGATTGAGTAATACTATAAATAGGGTTGCAGTCTTGGTTCCCAAATTTCAATGCTGGTACTCTTTCCCAATGGCTGTCTCATCAAGAATCTAAAAGCCTTGAAGTTATGTCACCTCCTCTACTTTCATTTGCCTCCAATACCAATTAGATAAACAACTTTTCACAATGAAATGAAACAGCAAGTGGTCAGAAGTTCCCTATGCCCCAACCTTTCCTGACTATTCTTGTTCTGCAGTCCAGTGTGGGAGGCATCAACCCATGTAACCCCATCTGAGCTCCTGTGTGCCATGAGGGTGCATGCAGGCATGCATTCCTCTGGGGCAAGAAGGGACATCCCTTCCTCCATGCAGGAAAAAGGTTCTGCACCCAGTGCCAGACTCAGGTGATGGTTTGTGGGAAGTGCCATTCATGCTTCTCCTAGTTAACCCCGTAGAACAATGCCTCAAGACCCCCTTTGTGTATTCACCCATGCTTTATCTACTTTCACAACCTTGATTACTGGAACTGGTCCACATTTGTTGACAAGGATTAGCTTTGTCCTGCTTACTGACTTAAAATTAAACTCTCATTGTCTGTATTCCCATAAAATGGTTTAAGATTAACCTCTCCTCTGACTGAAGATTTACTTCTCCTGCTTGTGTGCTGTATATAAGCATGTGATGTTTCAATAAACTGTCTATACCGGCATGTCCAGACATCATGTTCCCAGATCCCGCTGTATGAACAGCAACAAGTGGTGCCCAGAACAGGCACTGGAAGTAGAGAAAGTTCTGCTAGAAGGACAGGGTGTCCCATAGAAGGAGGTGAGTGAAATTCATTTCATTATGGGACAATCGGAAAGTCGAGCTCAGCGGTTTGTCAATCTAGTTTACCACTTTCTTAAGAGAAGTAGAGCAAAGTTGTCTAAAGGACAACTTCTAGAATGTCTCAGCATGGTTTGTGAATATAATCCTTGGTTCCTTAATGAAGGAACTTTGGATGAAGAAGTATGGCAGAAAGTGAAGAACAATTTAAAGAGAGCTCACAGGCAGGGAGAGCACATTGACCCTCAGTTTTGGGTGACATGGGCTTTCCTTCATGACATCATGGAGGTGGATAGAAGAGGAGAAAGAAACTATTAGTTTGAAACATTGATTACTTCATCACTTTAAGGAGAAGACATAGCAAAAAAGTTCTTCTGTTCTTGTTATGGTATGCTATGTGTCTCTGTTTGTGTCCTGTCTCCTGTCTGCTGAAGTTTTTGTTGCTGGTAGTTTTGTTTTATAACTGACCACGTGGTTCAATCATAATTAGGCAAAATATCACCGTTAAAATTCAAAAAAATCTTAAATGGCCGGTATTAAAATCTAAGCATGCTCTACAATTTGTGCACAAACATATTTGTCTGTATGCCTGTCTGTTGGGAGCCAAGAAAGTGTATAAGATTCCTCCAGCCCTAAGCAAACAACATTTGGCTAACCATAAATATTCCTCCAGCCCTAAGCAAACAACATTTGACTAACCATAAATATTTCTCTTATCTCCAGCCCTAAGCAAACGGCGCCTGGCTAACCATAAATATTTCTTAGAAAGACTAGCACAATGGCCAAAGGAAAAGCATGACCCATCCCTGACCCCGGGAATTCTCACCCTTGCTTCTGCAAAATTTTTTCATTCTTTCCCTTCCCCTGTCCCTTCGGGTATATAAACCCTACCCCAAGCTCAATAAAGCAGACCTTGATGCGACTCAGACTGACTTTGTCTTTCTTTATGCGCTTGGTCTTGTTTCTCTCTCGCCCCCATTGGTTTATAGGAGGTGCCTCCTCGAGCCTAATGAATAACTGAACCTGCTGGACGGGTCAAGTGGCGCCCAACGTGGGGCTCGAGGCACGGTGACCTACCCGACGGGGCTGGAGACGGGGATCCCCAATCATTTAAGGGTAGAGACGCCCACATCGCATCACTCGTGCACCGTGGGAAGTCTTGAGGTAAGTTTTGCCATTCAAAGAGCCATGGGAAAGACGTTGTCTAAAGAGGCTTTATTTATAAAGGAAATGAAGGAAGCTCTTAGGGAGAGAGGAATAAGAGTAAAAAGAAAGGATCTTGAAAAATTTTTTTGTTTTGTCAGGGAAAAATGTCCTTGGCTAATTTTGAGTGGCCCGGACATTCATCCCCTTACCTGGAGTAAAGTAGGGAAAAATATTAATGATTTAGCGGCTAAAGGAGAAGAAATTCCCGAGGCCTTTTTTAGTTTTTATCGGATTATCAGGGACATTTTAAAAGAGGTAGAAAAGGGAAGAGATGGTGCCCGCTTATTGATTTTAACGGAGGACTATCTAACCAAGTCGCAATGTCCGTCTCGTAAAAGCGAAACTAAAGATGAAAATAACACCGCCGCTTTGCCCGCTTTGCCCGGCTCGTGTACTCCTTCTATAATAGACAAGCCGATCCCTGCGGCTCACTTAAGACCTCCTTTAATTCCTAACAATGAAAAGTCTGGGCCCCCCTCTGAGGACAAAACGATAATTGCCACTAAAAAGGCTAAAGAGATAGAGCCATCTCCACCAGCCAAACCTTATCAACAAATATACCCTGTTATTTACAAAAATCCCCCTAACGATGATTGTCTTGACCCCTCATCTGGGATAGATTTAGAAGAACAAGCAGCACGTTATGAGGAAGAAAGATATTGCCCTCAACCTGCCCCTCAGATTTATACACTTACAAAAAATCAGAAAACCAGGACTCTTAGTTGGCCCTCCCCTCCACCTTATGCAGACCCCTTTCTCCCATCTGCCCCAACACAAGAGATGTCAGAAACAACATCTCTTGTCCTTTCCGGGGCTAAAGGTCTCCTTAAAACTAAAGATTCTCTTTTAAAACAAGTCACAGAATTGAGAGACGTTCTCCATTTAAAAAAAGAATTACGCGACCTTACTTCCTAAATTCAAAATTTACAAGAAGATCTCACCAGCGAGACTATTAAAACCCCTCGCTCTGTTACCTCTGGTAAAAGGCCTTCCAGGACACCTCCGGTCTTAAGAGGCCACACAAACAAACCCAGACTTAAAAGCTATTGCAGTTCATTCGTAAAGGGCTGTCCATCATACAGGCCATGGTACTAACTCAACAATACCAAGTATTACAGGCAAATGACACACCTGCAAATGAGATAATAGCCCCTAAATTTTAAGATTAAAATTAGCCCAAAGAAAAATGGGGGAATAAAAGATTAAAAATTAGAGTTACATTTTACAATTGCTAACTGCTGGTTTTGCTTCTGTAAACTTGCTTGCGCTAGCACTGACCCTTCCCCTCCCTGGAAATAAATAAAAAGTTTCGGAGTCTAGATGTCGGCCTGGGACAAGCTCTGTAGTCGTAAATAAAGAACTAACAAGTAAATTCCCCAAGTGGCCAAAGGGGACCCAAGACAAGGAACAAAGAGTATGTTCCTCTGCATTCCTGTGTAAAAATTCTTGGTTTAGGGGGCTCAAGATAAGGACCATCTGGTGAGCCCAGCAAACTAGGCCAAATGTTAATCAATCACAAGCCTGTAACTATGTAAACTCCCCTCCAGGGTCGCGTGGAGGGGGGACGAGATCCGAGTGTCTCTGTGTTCGGGGGAGTTAAGGCACGGCCGGCCTCTCCCTTCTGAAGTTTCCCTCCTCATTTGTGCTCACTCGGGGACGGCGCAACGTTTGTCTAGTCTTGTCTGCGTCTGTCTAACGTTGATTGTTTTTGGTGTCTGTTTTGTGACTCTCAAAGAAATGGGTCAACAACTAACCATGCCCTTAAGTCTGACTTTATATCACTGGAAAAAAGTTTCAGCTCGAGCCCAGATTGTCAGGTTTTAGGAACTTGCTTGTTTGTCAATTATGAAATTGCCACTGACCACCTGCGAGTGGCCCCAGTTAGATCTCAACCTTGGGCCTTGGCTCAGGAGGTCTGAGCGTGGGGGATAACCTGTCAGTCTGAGGGGACAGCCGCTAGGGATTTTTCTTTTCCCTTGCCCCAAGATGACTGGGAATTCTCCACCACCTTGGAAGGCCCCTGGGTCAACGTCTGCAGGAATCTAAGAGAAAAATCCTCCGGAGGTGAGTAGGGGAGTTGAGTCCCCTAGTAAGTGAATGGTGGTGAGATGTCGCCCCATTCACTGAGACCTGATTTTGTCTTTGTGGCCACTTGTTTGTCTTGTTTAGTGTGTGTGTTCGTTTTATGTTTTCTGAGGTAGGGAAGATTTGGGTGAGTGTGACAGGCTCACTCAGCAGACTCTGAATTCAGCTTGCTGAAGGAGAACAGCACAGAGATTCAAAAGACTAATTAGTGAATTGCCTTGCTAGATAAGCAAGCTCTGGGAAAATGAAGCCCAACAAAGGTACCTGGGTTTAAAAGAAATACTGTCTTAAATTTTTGTTTAAAAACTTTAAAAGGTGTACGTACAACTGATTTTGATTTTTGCGCGCTTTAAGATCTGTGTGAGTGTTTTGTGTGTGTCTGTGAACGTGTTCAAAGATAAAAATTGTCAGCATGCTGTAACAATTGAGTGAGTTTAAATTTAAAATTCAAAAGGTTATGAGGTTTGGACATTACCAAAATTCTTTTTTAAAAAATCTTCGCATTGTTTTAAATGGCTTTGTAAAGATTCTTTAACTTGCAAATTAGAAAATCTGGTATTTAAAAACTAATATTTTAAAATGCATAAGACTGTTTATACTGTAACCAAGTTATCTGGCTTAACAAAAATGCATTGGCTGTTTGGGATCTAGTTCCCTTGGCTAAAATTTGGGGATAAATATTAAAAATTTAAATGTAAAGGTTAGTTTTACACCGTCAAAGATGTTACTTGTTCTGTCTATCTAAAACTGTGTATTTCATTCGAGAACCAAGAGATAAAAAAAAAGGGAAAACTTAGAAGCCAACAGAAGACCTATCTTTAAGGGTGAGGAGTGAACAAGCACAAGTGCAGTCCAGCTGGTCATGCATGGTGGGACAGGCCCTGGGAGGAGTCCACGCATGGTGAAAGAGGGTAAGCTGGCACAAACGCAGTTCATCTAACTCTAAAGAGTCAGATTGGGTGCGTGCCCATTCCATAGAAGGGGCTGAGTGGCCCATCTTTGTTCTCTCTCTTTTCCCTGCAGATACACACTGAAAACATGATGGTTAAAATGAGTGATGTGATGATCTGATTAGTATTGCTAAAACTTTCTCTTGGATGTGTTAACATTAAAATTAGAAAGGCCTTAAAAAGAGGGTTGAAAGTTATTTGTATAATGTGACTTGCTTTTAATGTTTTACAATTAGGATGCTTTTAAAAGTCATAAAGACTCTAAGTCTAGCTTTTTGGTTCAGTTATGATGATTGTTATTTTCGCATTAAGGAAAAATTGTCATTTGAGTTAAAAAATTTTAATGTGTGTCTGTTTTAAAACAAGCAACCAAGAGGCAATGAGTGACACTTGGCCTCAAGATTTCAAGGGATCTTTTCAAAATGCAAATGAAAACTAAAGTATAAAATACAAAAGGTGATTAATAAGAGGTTTTAAAAAAATTAGGAATGGATTTTTGGATATAAAGTTTAACTGTAAAATTGTTCTTAACATTGGCCTCAATGTGCACAAAGGAAAAATTAGGATTACCAAAATAATTGCTATTCTAGTTTGCTCTTATAGGTTTTTTAAGTTTCCAGCAAGCCCAAAGCAAAGCACAGAGGATTCTGTATTGTCAGATGTAACTTTGACTCTTAATAAGTTTCAGGTAAGAGCATGCTTAGAAGCTACTTCTATGTTGACCACCTTGTTGCTTTTAATTGGAGTAAAATGGCCTTTTGTAAGACTCATTGATCTGCAAACTGGTTCAAAGCCAGCCCAGGCACAAAAAGGTTCCTGTGAGACTGTCACCTCTATTCAGCCAGCAGAGTACTAGCCCTGGACTGAAGAGTTAGGGGACAGCATTCAAGCCCCGAGTCTGGGACTCAAAGTGGCAGAGTGCTAGCCTTGAGCTGTAGAGCTGAGGGACAGTGCTCAGGCCCCGAGTTCAAGTCCAGTAACCAGCTAAGGAAAATGCCAATGAGGCATTTATCCAGTGTAAAAAGACACTCCTGGGACAAGAGCAATGGAGGAGCATCCAGAGGCAGTAAGCCACTGCTTGGATGGCAGAAATGTCAGACCCTAGAGTCATTTTGTGGCCCTTCAAAACTGGTCAGAGCCGGGAGGTCATAAAAAGAGTTTGTAAGCATGCCAAATGTCCATGACCATCTACCTTGTAAGGGACAGAAACTTGCCAGTCCTCTGTAATAGTAAAAAGATAATGTTATAAAATGTGGGGGATAGTTTAAATCTCAACCCCTTTATGTGCCAATTGGCAGCTCTAATTGAGCTGACACTAGTTACATGAAGTTCATCTGCTCAGGAAAAAGGTTGTAAACCTGAGAGTGTGTTTCTATTGATATCATTGATATCTGTCTAAAGGCCTGCAAAGGTAACTTAGGCATTATTTGGGATCATTAGAGATCACATTCCTAAGCCATCTAGGAAGATGCTTTTGCAAACCAGAGTGCTAAACAAGCTACATTGCTGTAGCCGGAAAAAAGGTCTGTGCAGTTGTCAAAAGTTAAATATTGTTCTTAATGACATCTAACCCTGATAGCCTCTTTGTAAAATAGGCTAAAGTTATAGGTTCCTGGCTAGGTAAGATCAACGCCCCTAAAGTCAGCTTGTAAGAAGTTACGGAAGATGGACCTTCGCCCTTCTACCCCCATTTTTAAGATCAAGGGTCCAGAGTCAGAAATTTTGGAGAAATGAGGCAAAATAGATAAAAAAAAAAAAAAAAAAAAGGGTAGTAAAGAAAGCCTTGGGAAGAGAATTGGGAAAATTTAAAAAGTAAGGATTGCCTTTAAGACAAACCTCAAAAAGTTTAAGTAGGTAGCAGATGGTATGAGTATGTCTTAAAATTGAAGCTTACAAGTAAAGCTGGTATAAAATTAAGTTAACTATGATACACGAGTCAGGACTGGTGAAGAAAAAAAAAATGTAAGGGGCTCTGGTACTGTTACTTTTGTTACAATCGGACCTTGTATACTCAACAGACTGGTGTCTTTTGTAAAAGAAAAAGATCAGCGCAGTCCATCTATTAGTTCTGAGATCCAGAGGCGTACAGGCCGGTGGCTCTCCATATAGCCTAAGACAGGATGTTTTCTCATAACCTACCTTTAAAGAATTTGTTCTTTAAAGGAAAGGGGGAATTGTTGGGAGCCAAGAAAGTGTATGGAAAGATAAGATTCCTCCAGCCCTAAGCAAACAACATTTGGCTAACCATAAATATTCCTCCAGCCCTAAGCAAACAACATTTGACTAACCATAAATATTTCTCTTATCTCCAGCCCTAAGCAAACGGCGCCTGGCTAACCATAAATATTTCTTAGAAAGACTAGCACAATGGCCAAAGGAAAAGCATGACCCATCCCTGACCCCAGGAATTCTCACCCTTGCTTCTGCAAAACTTTTTCATTCTTTCCCTTCCCCTGTCCCTTCAGGTATATAAACCCTACCCCAAGCTCAATAAAGCAGACCTTGACGCGACTCAGACTGACTTTGTCTTTCTTTATGCGCTTGGTCTCGTTTCTCTCTCGCCCCCATTGGTTTTTAGGAGGTGCCTCCTTGAGCCTAACGAATAACTGAACCTGCTGGACGGGTCAAGTGGCGCCCAACGTGGGGCTCGAGGCACGGTGACCTACCCGACGGGGCTGGAGACGGGGATCCCCAATCATTTAAGGGTAGAGACGCCCACATCGCATCACTCGTGCACCGTGGGAAGTCTTGAGGTAAGTTTTGCCATTCAAAGAGCCATGGGAAAGACGTTGTCTAAAGAGGCTTTATTTATAAAGGAAATGAAGGAAGCTCTTAGGGAGAGAGGAATAAGAGTAAAAAGAAAGGATCTTGTAAAATTTTTTTGTTTTGTCAGGGAAAAATGTCCTTGGCTAATTTTGAGTGGCCCGGACATTCATCCCCTTACCTGGAGTAAAGTAGGGAAAAATATTAATAAAATTAAGATTAGATCACACCATCAATCAGTCCTCGCCTTTCCAGTAACTCAGAGCCAGACAGATAGGATCTCAGAGGGTGAGGAGGACGAATCAGAAGAGGAGGAAAAGGAGGATGAGGAACAGGCTGCTGGGAATGAAAAGGAACAACCCACCCAGAAAAAAGGCCAGCAAGAGTATAAGAGGCTTAGCCTTCGGTTTGTTGAAAAGCTTAAAAATGCATGTGCCCAATATGGCCCGACTGCCCCTTATACGTTAGCCTTATTAGAAAACCAAAGTGCGCGCTGGCTCACCCCTAATGATTGGAAGTTTCTGGCCCGCGCCACCCTTAGTGGGGGTGATTTTCTTTTATGGAATGTGGACTTTAAGGAACAATGTAGAGAGACCTCGCAAAAAAATTTGGCTAAAACATCTTCTAAAACCTGGACCTATACTAAACTTTTGGGTAATGCGCCCTTTGATACCAAGGCTAAACAGGCGTGCTTTCCTACTGGACTTTTGGCACAAATTCAAAACGCTGGCCTTTATGCTTGGAAGCGTCTCCCTCAAAAGGGATCAGCTACTACTTCCCTGGCAAAAGTTAGACAGAGGCCAGAGGAACCCTACAGTGACTTTCTCGCGGCTTAACTTGGCTGCAGAAAGGCTTCTTGGGCCTAGTGAAAGTGAAAGTGCCTTTGTTAAACATCTTGCCTTTAAAAATGCTAATCTGGCATGTCAAGATGTCCTCTGGCCACATAAAAACAAGGGTGACCTCTCTGAGTCTGTTAGGCTTTGTGCTGGAGTAGGGACCGCTCACACCATGGGGCTCGCCATAGGTGCTGCTTTTACCAAGGCATTTCAAGGTTCAGTCCCCAGCTGGCATATTTGCTTTAATTGTAAACAACCTGGTCACTTTGCTTGTGAATGTCCCTTGGGCAAACAAAGCCAAGGGGCAGTGCCCTCCAAAGCTACAGGTAGACCACTCCCTGCCACTCTTTGTCCCAAATGTGGTAAGGGCCGTCATTGGGCAAACGAATGTAGATCCAAAACAAATGCCCTTGGACAGCCCATTCTCTCTCATTTTTCGGGAAACTTCCCTCAGGGCCAGCTCCTGGCCCTGACTATCCCCCAAGACAAGCCCAGGGGCGATAGGGTTTGTCCCCTCCCAAACTCCGGTCCTACACAAGCCCCCCACCTCTCTCCACAATTGCCTCCTCCCAGCGGGCAACCCCAGGCAGTGCAGGACTGGATCTCTGTGCCGCCACCGACACAGTACTAGACTCTGTACAAGGACCTCAAATAATAGCCACTGGGACCCTGGGACCCCCTCCATCTCATATGTGTGCCCTTATTCTTGGAAGAGCCTCTGCTACCTTACAAGGTGTCCAAGTTTTTCCTCGTATTATTGATAATGATTATACAGGAGAAATAAAAATTTTGGCCACGGCCATTAATGGGATTGGAGTTATTCCAGCTGGAACTAGGCTTGCACAATTGAAACTGCTCCCATTAAATTCAGGGGGTTCTTCCACTGCTCAGACCACACCACGAGGAACTGCTTCTTTGGGTTCTTCTGATCTGTATTGGGTTCAGCCTATCACTCAAAAAAGACCCACCCTCACCCTGCAAATTGAAGGAAAGGTGTTTCAGGGAATTTTGGATACTGGTGCAGATACCACAGTTATTTCCCAAAAATATTGGCCACCACATTGGCCCCTTACCTCGTCCCTAACTGACCTTAAAGGCATAGGGCAGTCAAAAACCCTTTGGTAAGCTCCAGGGTTCTTAATTGGACTGACAAAGAGGGCAATAAAGGAACTGTTACTCCTTTTGTTGTTCCTGACCTCCTTGTTAACCTGTGGGGCCGGGATATCTTGACCCAGATGGAAGTTATCCTTGCTAGTCCCAATTCTCCTTGCTAGTCCCAATTCTGTGGTTACACATCAAATGCTCCGTATGGATTTTGTCCCTGGTACGGGTCTTGGAAAATCAGGACAAGGAATCGTTGAGCCCATCCAAGCTACCCAAAAAACAGATAAACATGGGCTTGGGTATTCGGATTTTTAGTATTGGCCCCTGACCCTTCTGTGCCCCATGCAGATAAAATCATTTGGGAAACCCAACCCCCTGTGTGGGTGGATCAGTGGCCCCTTACCCAAGAAAAATTGGAGGCTGCCTCCATGTTAGTACAGGAACAGTTGGTGGCAGGCCATGTAGAGCCCTCTACTTCACCATGGAATACTCCTATTTTTGTTATCAAGAAAAATCAGGCAAATGGCGCCTTTTACAAGATCTACGTGCCATTAATAAAGCTATGCGCCCAATGGGAGCACTACAGCCAGGCATTCCCACACCGGTGGCTATTCCCAGGGACTATTACAAAATGGTTATTGATTTAAAAGATTGTTTTTTTACCATTCCCCTACATCCTGAGGACAGACCCTATTTTGCCTTTAGCCTTCCTCGCATTAACTTTCAAGGCCCTATGCAAAGATTTCAATGGAAGGTACTCCCCCAAGGTATGGCTAATAGCCCTAGCCTTTGTCAAAAATATGTTGCCCAGGCAGTGGACCCTGTGAGAAAACGATGGCAGCGTGTCTATATATTATGTTATATGGATGACTTGTTGCTTGCTGCACCTGACACCCACAAACTTAGAAACTGCTATTTAGACCTTTATAAAGCCCTTACTGCCCTGGGACTACAGGTTGCCCCCAATAAAGTTCAAACACAGGATCCCTATACTTATTTGGGTCTAGAACTCCAAAATAATCAAATTCGGGTTCCTCAAATTCAACTTCGTTTAGACCATCTTCACACCCTTAATGATTTTCAAAAGTTGCTTGGAGATATTCAATGGCTTAGGCCATACCTAAGGTTGCCCACCAGAGTGCTTTTGCCTCTTAATGAGATTTTAAAAGGAGATTCTGACCCCTCCTCTCCTCGCGAGCTTACTCCCAATGCACGAAATGCCTTAACCCAAGTTACTGAGGCCATCGCCCAGCAGTTTGTTACACAGATTGCCTATAATCTCCCTGGCCCTCTTACACAGGGTAATGCTCAAGCTGATGCGGCCACTCGTTCCATTTTTCCGGTTTTTGTTGGGTCTGTCCAAAAGGCTACAGAATTACATAATCTCCACCATCTCCACCATCTAAATTCCCAGAGTCTTCGATTGCTTTGTAAAATTACTAGACAACAAGCACGGGAGATAGTAAAGGCATGCCCTGCCTGTGTTGTCTCCCTTCCTGTACAAGACCTGGGTGTTAACCCCACGTGGATTGCTACCTAATCAAATCTGGCAAATGGATGTTACCCATTTTCCTGAATTTGGAAAAACAAGATATATACATGTCTCCATAGACACATTAAGCGGGTTTGTTTTTGCTTCACCACACTCAGGAGAAACTGCCAAAGATGTTCTCTCTCACCTTGTTTTAGCCTTTTCTGTAATGGGAAAACCAGCCCACATAAAGACAGACAACGGCCCTGCCTATACCAGTGCCAAGTTTAAACAGTTTTGTGCTATTTTTCAGATTTGTCATACTACTAGGATTCCCTATAACCCCCAAGGTCAGGGCGTCATAGAATGAGCCCACCACACCCTAAAAACCTGGCTTACTCGCCTCAAAGCCTCTGCCTTTTCATTTGCCACTCCTAGGGATCGCCTTAGTCACACATTGTTCGCCCTTAATTTTCTAACTCTGGACAATGAAGGCCACTCGGCAGCTGACAGGCATCTGTCTGTCATGTGGCGAGACCCCCTTACAGGCAAATGGAAGGGCCAGATCCTGTTCTTATCTGGGGGCGAGGTTCAGCCTGTATTTTAGATCAAGAACAAGCAGCCCCAAGGTGGCTGCCAGAACGCTTGATAAAACAGGTGAATGGCTTATCACAACCCAGGGGAAGCCTTCCCCCTGAGGATGATGCCTTTTCTCTTACAGATGCAGCTAGAACTCCAGACGTGGACCTTCCTGTTTGAATTATTAAATAACAGATTAATCTCTTGTCTTCTAAGCCCATACAGGTTCATTACCATCGTCTTGATATGGCAGGCCACAGCACTGAGATCTAGGATTTATCCCAGGCTTTTAATTAGTGTTTTGCCATGAGCTTGTTCCAGTGGGAAACCCTCCCCCCCTTTTTTTCTTATTTAGAAAATCCTTCTCCTTATTCATAACTCCTGACCATTCAAGGGGCAAGACCTATTGCGCCCTTGCCGTAAGGGATAGGTTCGCCCCTCCTCCTATAGGCCCCTCTGCTTGGGGGAGGATGCACCTGAAAGATTAAAAATTGACCATTACCATTACTAACTTGCTAACTGCTGATTCTGCTTCTGTAAACTTGCTTATGCTAGCACTGACCCTTCCCTTCCCAGAAATGAGTTAAGAAGTTTCAGGGACCAGATGCCGGCCCCAGGACAAGGTCAGTGGTCGTAGATAAAAAACAGACAGTACATGTTCCTCAGTTCCCATTTAGAAATTCCCCAGACAGGACCTTGAGATAACGACCACCTGGCAAGACCACAAGCTAAGCCAAATGTCAACCAATCATAGGCCTGTAACCATGTAAACCCCCCTTAAACCAACCATGGGCCAGTCATTTTACAAAGAGTGTTACAAAATTTCCCGCGTGGCAAAGTGATTGTTGGTATATATGGTGATTTGTAACCGCTGCTCGGGGCTCCCTGTCTGCTCGGGACAGAGAGTCCGTTTGCGCAAACGTCAAATAAAGTCCTCTTGTTTATTGCATCTCCCGGCCTGGAGTCTGAGTTTTTGGGGCGCCCTCCCATTGACGAAAGTATCCTAGGGGGCTAGGGTCTTTCACACCTATGGGAGGAAGAAAAAATGCTCAAATCAAGGGTGCAGGTAAGACTGCAGGGGGATGGATCCGCGAGATCCCAAAACCCAAGACCCCTGACTGGCAAGCTCTGGTGCATGACGGTTGGCATGCATACCCACAAGCCGTCTCCTCAAAAAACATGCCAAGGCCTGTAAAATTCCCCTCTCCGAGTGAGGATGCTCACTCGGGAATGGAGAAAAACTCTGGGCCCTTAGAGGAACAGAGCCTCTGTCACCCTCTTAAAAGAGCAGCCAACAATTGATGGTCAATTTTCTAAATAAGAAAGGGGGAGATGTCGGGAGCCAAAAGTTGAGTCTCTCAACATGATAGGCTAGACTATCGCACTGGAACATCTTGAGGCTGAGTTTACAGAATCCGAACTTTTCACCCTGCCCTAAGCAAACACCCTGCAGCTACTAACGACCACCTTTTCACCTTGCCCTAAGCAAACATCCTACAGCTGCTTGGGCCAATGAAAAAGCTTCCTTATTCTAAGCATATAAATATCCCTGTGTGAAAAATAAAAATTTGCAGCTTGATCAGAATCCCTGTCTTGCTGTCATTCTTCGTGTCTCTTGTCCCTTCATTCCTTCTCGCTTAGGTTCACTGACCTCATTGACATCCTGTGTGTTGGGACAGTGCAGCTGCTAAAAGTTAAATGTTGTATATAGTTTATAGTCTGGAGTAAAATATTGTTTCTAGTGACATCTAATCCTGGCAACCCCTTGGTAAAATAGGCTAAGGTTATAGGTTCCTGGCTAGGCAGGGTCAGCGCTCCTGGTCAGCTTGAAAAAGTTACAGAAGGTGGACTTTTGCCCATCAATCCGTTTTTAGGGTCAGGGGACTGGAGTCATTTTTGGAAAAATGAGACAGAACAGACAGAAGGAAGAGGCATGGGAAATAGTGGTACAGGCCCGAGCCCTCTGTGTCTATCTAGAAAAATCCTAGCCTTATCAAAAGGAATATCTAGTTAAAAAAAGTTGTCATCTGGTACATTGTCCCAGGCCACTGCCTTCAAGACCAGCTGGACACCAGCCTGCCAAGCCTATGTCATGCATAGTCTATGTGGAAATCTACTGCCCAGCATGAAGTATGACAATCCATTGGAGCCGCTGAGACACCCTGGTGCAGCTGAGTAAAGTTCAAAGAGAGCCTGACAGTCATCTGGAGGGGAAATCTATATCATCACCCTGACCACCTCCACCATGGTAAAAGTGGACTAGACTCCTGCCTGATTCCATCATGGGTCTCCTGAAACTAAGATCTTGTGAAACATTCTTTTGATGATATCCGGTAACCCTCTCTACTCCCACAGTGGATATTAAGGGCAAGGACAATGTCACTGGCTTGCCTTAAGCACTTCAAGGCATAGGGAACTGGAAATCCACTCTATAGTCATAGCCCAGTTTGGCTCTGGCGTGGTAATGACCTTCTTCCTCCTGGGTGGGTGTTAAAAGTGTAGACCTCGTCAGACTAGACCCTGTCTAATTGGTTGTGGGTGAGCCCAGAATACCATATCCCTTACATCTCCTTCCCTTCCCCTACCAGACAACTACCAACAATGGCTGAAAGGAGATCTTTATCAGTGGAGGTAGTAAGAGGAATGAGATGCAGTGCCACTCAGCCTTAAAAGCTAGCAAGCTTCTCCACTCCAGTGATAACTTGAGGCAGCTCTGAGATAGCTTGGTTCCACGAGCCAATGGAGAAATGGGCAGTTTTAAACTCTAGCCACAAAGAAGCTCAAGGAATTGTAAAGAAAGAGAGTAGTAAAGAAAGCCTTGGAAAAGAATTTTTAATAAAACAAAATGGTTTCCTTTAAATAATAAAGTATTTTAAAATTAAGGATTGTCCTGAAATGCTTATTAAGGGAAGAAGACAAACCCCAGAAAGTTTAAGTACATAGCAAATGGTATGAGTATTTCTTAAAATGGAGCTTATATACAGAGAGTCAGGATTGGTGCACTGATGTGAAACTATTCTTTATGTCTATCTGTATGGTGGGATGGGCCCATTTCAACTTAGATGCTGGTTTAGTTCACCGAGCAGCCCCCGCTTTTAGGTCAACTGCTGGTGAGAGTAGGAATTGCAAGATCCACAGCATGGGGAATGCCTGCCCTGATAGTTGGATATAACAACCTCAGAGAACTAAGCACTGAGGTAGTCTTAGAAGCATTCAAAGACCCTCTTGGCTAAAAAGCCAGGTCGTCTCATTGGCAGAGGTAATCCTCTAAAATGGCCAGGGACTAGACTTCCTTTTCATGGAACAAGGTTTATACATGGCCTTAGGAAAGGTCTGCTGCTTTTATACAAACCCATCTGATATAATTAGAGATACTTTAGCCAAAGTAAGAGAGGACCTGTGTGCCAGTGAGGACAACCAGTGATGATCCTCAAATTTATCAAAGCTTTTTTAATAGTCTGGACAGTGGGACCATGCCTGGTATATACACTGATATAAAAAGGAAAAAAAAAAATAGGGGGGCGGAGAAGGTGGCTCAGTGGTAATTAGCCTTGCATGCATGAGGCCCTGGGTTCGATTCCTCAGCACCACATAAGCAGAAAAAGCTGAAAGTAGTGCTGTGGCTCAAGTGATAGAGCACTAGCCATGAAGGTAAAAGCTCGGGGACTGCACTCAGGCCCCGAGTTCAAGCCCCAGAACTGGTACCAAATAAATAACTATGTAAAGGACTTTGTACACTAAAATGCATAACTGAATATATCCATGATCGTAATAGTTCTGTAAAACTCATGGCCCTGCGTTCCCAATATATGCCCCTAGCTAAGGATACTCAGAGGTCAAGGATTTGACCCCTGACAAAAAAAAGGGGGGAATGATATGGTGGAAGATATAAAGATGGAATATGATATTTGACTTGGATTGTGTAAAATGGATAATGCATTATTTTAAGATATAAATGTAAGCGTGTTATGGATAAGACTTCCCTGGTAACTCATTACTTTAGCTAGTAACTGTAATTGTAACTCTAACTCCATAACCCTCTAACTCTGTAACTCTGCTTCTGCTGTTTCCTGAGCAATGGGAGACCTAACCCAGTGGAACCATCACCGCCCTTTGTTCTATTCTCCTGCTTCCCACAAGCAAAACCTTGGCGGGAAATTTAAACTTAAGGTGTGCATTTCTTGTAACAATCATTGGCTAAAACCAACACCCAGCCTCCTCCTTTCCCCACCCTAGCCCAAAATGCTTAAAAGCCCATATGGGCTGGCACTCAGGGCTGTTTCCTGGGATCCCAACTCCAGGCGCAGTGGCACATCAGCACTTTTCGCTCAATAAAATCTTTTATATTTTCACTGCGTACTGAGTGGTCTCACTGCCCCTCCCCACTACAGCTGCTTGGGTATCTCAGTTTAAAACCAAGAGAAAAGGAAAGGAAAGCTTCCAGCCAATTAAAAAAACCTATCTTTGGAGGTGAGGGGTAACAGAAGTGCAGCTCAGCAGCACATGCATGGTGGGAGGAAACAAGCTGGCACAAAGGCAACTGATCTATCTCTAAGGAGTATAATAAATATCAGGCTATTCCACAGGAGGGGCTAAATGGCCTTTGTCCTGTTTCTTCTGCTTGCAGCTGAATGCTGGAAACCCGTTGGTAAAGTGAGTGGTATGATGATGTATCAGCATTGCTAAATATTTACATGTGTGATATAATTCGGTTTTAATGCTTTTTTACAATTGGGTATGTTTTAAAAGACAAAAGGATGTTAAGTTTGGATTCTTGGTACAGTTTTGGCATTTTCAGTTCTTGCATTAAGGAAAACTGCTATTTGGTTTCAAAATTTCCTAAAGATTTGTTTTCTAGGGAGTGTGCTTAGTGCCTTAAGATTTTAAAGGGTCATTCAAATGAAAATTAAAACTGAAGTATATAAAGTCTTAAAGCTTAAAGTAAAAAGCTTTTTAAAAACAAAGAATGTATTCCTGGATATAAAATTTGAAAGTAAAATAGTCTTTAGCAAAAGAAAAGTTAAGGCTACCAAAATGATTGCTTAATTGTCAGTTTAGTTTGCTCTTCTAGGATTTCTGTAACAGGTTCTAGCAGGCCTACAGAAAAGAATAGAGAAGTCTTAGAGGTTTGTGAGGTATAACTTTGGCTTTTAATAAGCTCCGGTAAGAGCATGCTTAAAAAGCTACTTCTATGTTGACCACCTTGTTGTTTTTATTAGAGTAAGTGG